GTACAACGTTATATTAAAACCATGACCTTTTAAAATTGTTGAGAATAAAACGTATTTGAATTTTGAATATAATGTATGAGCAGATAATACTGACCTAATTTAAGTTTACCTATAATGGCTACTAATAATATTGACACAAAATGATTTAATATTATATAACCATTGGGATTTAAAACAAATTGATTCGAAATACTTATTGTTGGAACACTCACTCACTCGCACAGTATATGTTTACGACATACATTAATATTATATTGTGTTTGTAGTTCAAATACAAACATTTTTAATTTTAATTTGTCTGATTTTATTCTACATACATATTATAGTTTTTTTTTTTAATCGATTTTGTTTTTGATAGTAATTAAAAATATGAATACATAATTCTTGCAAGCCGACATAACATGAAATGCGTGATGTTAACATTGGTTTTGCATGGTGTTCATAACTTTAATTTAAATATTAAAATTAATATTGGTAGGTCAAACAATAACATAAAAATAATACTTCATACATCGACACAAAGAGCCACGATTCGGAAATAATTCTGTTCAACACAATTATAATTTTGTACTTTAGCCTTCAATTTAATCAACTGAGTCCTTCACGGTAGTGGATATTCTTTATAGATAAGAGCATTTAGTGTAAAATACTTAACTATGACAAATTTAATATTTTAAAAAAATATTAAAGTTTAACAAGAAGAACATAATATTATACGGCATATGCAGAGATCCTTTGAGCGGAAGTCTGCAGTCAACATATTATGCGAAAAGCTAAAAACTATTAAAATCTAATATATCAATTAAAAACTGCTAATTAGTAATTAGGTATTCAAAATTAATTATAAAATTAATGCAACAACGATAGTTTACTGTGAGTCAAGTACATTGAGTACCTAGGTACCTGTATGAGTACAGAGTAAGTATATATTATATAATAATGTGTGTTGGGCACGATCGGGAGGAGGTGAACAATTTCGGCGCTAACACGTCAAGGTTTCCTAATATATTATATTGTAATAAATTATTTCCAAAAACGAAAATAAATCAAAACTAATATACATGGTGCGCCTATATCATCATATTGTGTTTAGACAAAACTGCATTATATTGTAGGTAGGTACAGTTTAAGGACCTTTTAATGATACAACGGAAAAAAAAACGACCTCACATGTCGATTGAAATTTCGAAAAGAGAAATAAAACACCATGTCTAACTATAGCTGCAACAAATATTGTATATAAATTATTCACCTGCAGCATCCGTAGTCTAAAAATAATCGGCCGGTTTTACATATTATTATTATTATTATTACGAAAACGAATACGCGTGTCCTGCCATACCATAACGCATATAGTGTAAAATAAATCTTACTACTTTCATCGGCGAATAGTTACATAAAAAAAAACAGCTATTTTTAATGCTGCATAATTATAATGCGCAGAGATGCAGCAGTGTTGTATTTTTTTTTTCTTCTCTTGGGCCCGTTTTTTAATGTCTTATTGCAACCGGAGTTTGTTGTTTGTACATTATAATAGTGCAGACTTTTACAAAACGGAGATAATAATATTACATTATAAACCGCATGGTAAGTTAGGCGTATTAAAACATTGGTGTTATTTAAGAGACTTGCCAGACTGGACTTGCACGTTCTAAGCTTGTCATATACCCACACGGCTATTTACCTACATATATAGATACGTATAATATATTACATATTATGTTATATTATATTATGCTATCAATCAATCACATGTTTACTCATTCTAATCCTATGCCGATGCAGAGAAGGTCAAGTCGTGACAGTACTTATATTATATTATATTATTATATACCCAGTCGGTTCGCTTAGGTCAGATACGAATTTTAAGTCTTTTTTTCAATACAATTAAGTTATTGAACAACCGTACGGATAAACTATACCTTATTAACCTATAATATTAATTTATCGAAAAAATAATATATTATTATATTTTAATTTATGAAAGGATTAAACCTGCGAGAGCTACCTCAACCATGACTGTCGAAAAAAAAAATTAAAATTCGTATTCTCACATTTTTCAGTTGTTTACTCGTGTATACTGTGCATATATATGACTTCATTTTTGTCCTTTAAATAAATATATTTTTAAACAGAAATATTACGCATACTTCGGCTACATAGTTGTATGTGTTATTGACTAAATTATTTTCTTAATTGTTCAACATAACTATTTCCGTCTGTACACCCGGACCCACGATGTACCTACCTATGTGCATCTCAGTAAAACAAATATGCATAATATATTAATTTTTAAGTACTCAAGCACTAAAGTTTCTTTACAATGGTTATGGAATATATAAAAGTAGAACAAGTATAACAACTGAGATGACTACAGAAATTAAAATTAAAATTATAAAAGCAATGATACTTACATCTGTCATTAAATTTAAATAAGAAATACATCAAAATCGATAGTTGTTGTTTTTTGTTTTTATTCACATTCGTATGAAATTTTCAAGTAGGATATTTTTCTAGATTTTACTTAAACACACATTGTTTTTTTTACAAAACGTTACACCCGTAGACTGGATTAACCGTAATATTTAATTATTTACAGCATAATAATATAATATTATTCCAACGGCCGGACCCTTGAGTTGCACAGAGCCTCTTTAATTGCATTATTTAGCGTACCTACGTGCTCTCGCATGTAGTCACTTTATAGTTTAATTGAATCAATTGTACGAATTCAAGGTCACTGTCTTGGGCATTTTTTTAAGTCATATTGAAAAATATTCATGTTCAATATGATATTCGACATTGTTCGCACTTGACGACGAGTTTTACATTTCTGTGTTTTAAAACATAATTTTGATCACAACTAAAAATGATAAGACGCCGTGTATTCACGAAATCATGACACAACATCCGACTTGGATCATGTCAAGACCGGGTTAGGTAACTAATTGCATGTTATTTCGTCCGTCATAAATCATAATCGTCGTACGCTAAGCCGTCTATAGGACAGTGTACCATATTCAAATAGGACGGTTATTAAAAGTTTTTAAGGTCGCATAATCCTTCCTTCAATTTTATTGCTATTTCGGTGTAAAATGGCGATTGTCCCCTTCCGCTTGTCATGTTATTACATTATGCGATGTTCTCCTAAGATGTATTATAGTCGCATTTACATGTTCACCGTTGTGCAGAGGTTCATTAATATAATATTATCGATCTTACCATTTTATGTACGACATTTTAATATTCTGCCGTGCTCGGTGTATGGCACAAGTAGGTAGGTACCTGTAAATTGTGCCAATGGTTATCTGCAAATTATACGTCTTCATTGTTTATACCCTTGACAAAGGCGTTCAGAGTACCTACATTGCAGTCGCAGGTCTCAATAACAATTCACGTCCAATTATCTATTCCACGTTCGAACTAACACCACCTACGCCTTATTATCCTGTCAAACTCGTCGACAAATGTAATTATTATACGATTCGTATAGTTAATCTAATTTCGATCCACATGTCCGTCGCCCCCGCACATACACTATATTTTATTCATTATAGCTGCTCGTAAACGGAATAATGTAAAAATGCGGTGTTTCAATGGTACAAGTCGGTTTGCGACGTTATACGACGTTACTTAGTTACTTGTTAGTTGTTATAATTAGTAAATAAAATCCGTATCGATGTCTGAGGCGATAATCGTTCCATGCTTAGCACTGAAATATGCCTGGTATAATAATATTATTATGTTGTCGCGTTATCTGCAGCGCTCGGAAACTCTGCAGTAATAATGCGTATTTTCTGTACAATAGGTATATTATTACCGCGAGACTGCAACTTTTACATTGTTTCATTATACGCTCACGAGATAAAATAGTTTATTACTGACAAATAAATAAATAAATCCCATGGTAAATACCGGTTAAACCGAGCGTGTGCAGAATGCGATCGAGTTATGGTTATTGTCAAATTAAAAACATTTTCGGCTCCGCTGGAATTTCTTAAGCATATACACACACATACTATAATATACTATTATACTTTTACAACAGTTATGAGCTATGTTTTTTTTTAAAGATATTGCAGGATAAAAAATAACCAATAAGTAAACTATCAAGCTCGTTTTTTTATCGGTTGTACATAATACGAAAAAATAATTTCAAGGTATTCGCGTATTTTAATACAAACGCAAAACCAATGACGCACTCATTGTTATTTTAACATTTAGTTTAAGTAAATATTTTCGATAAATATTACTTTAAATGTTTTCTACGGCAAAATAAAATTTCAGCTAGTGTGAATAAATTAAAACCTAATGGTAAACATCTTTGAGTTTGAAACTGTAAGGCTACTCTATAACGTTGAGTACAAGGGTGATATTTAACAGGTATATTATGCTTATTAATTGTCTGTTTGATTTTGGCGGATTGTAATTTATGAAAAATGTTTTAATATTTTATGTTTGGTTGTGATGTATATAATATTTAAATATTTCACGTTCTTCATTCATTATTTATAATGCTTTGTACTTTATTTACACTTCATAAAAATAATTTATCGTGTACAATACTTCTACAGTTCTATTATTATGTTTGATATATGATATATCATATAAATAAATAGTTTTGGGTACGTAGTTTTTTATTGCTTGGAGTAAATTATTTATTACTTAACTTAAAAATTAATTATGCAAACACCGACAGCAAATAGGGAAGTATTTATCTATGCTTAAAAATGATACGTATGATCAAAGCATTATATAATATATGATTGTACGTTTGGTCTTGAAAATAATGTCATAAACATATAACCACTTATTATATTTTTACACTGCACTTTGGTTTGGACCCCTAATACAATATAAAATAGATTTTTCACAATTACCAGCTACGTGTAAATAAATATTTTGTTTCATGTAAAACGCTCAAACAATGAATTCAATTTTGTTTTTGATTTATACATTTTTAACCAAAAAATATATTATTAACGCTTTACAAATTTAAATTTCATTTGACACAAATTCAATTGTTTATTCACATCATGTCCAATTACTTTAGTACAGCGTGTTTATGTAATGCTTACAATTAATATTTAATGTTAAAATCTTGAGAGCATATTGTTTAATATATTTCATCGTTAATAATATGTATGCACCCAAAATAAATTACGACATATAAACAAATACATGAAGGTATTGTTCACGAATGTGGTTATAACAAAAACATGTTATTATATTTATTTCCAGATCTCGATCATAAGTTTAATTTTAATCAAAATGACATAGTGTTTATTTAGAGTGGTCAGTGGTCTCACACCCATGACCCGCGAGACGGAATATACAACCCGTCTGTTAGTTCTTTTCGAGGTCCGATTGAATCACAGCTAGAGATCGATTTTTGGTCTCTGGCACACGATTCACGACGAACAACATGCCCATAAAGCAGAACCCGGAGTACACGAAAAATGTACCACTCGGGCCGATAAATTTGTCCATAGGTTCGGCGAGACACGTTACCAGCCAGACCAATATCCAATTGGTGGCTATCGACATGCCCGTGCCCATCGACTTGAGCTGCAAATACGTCAACATAAATAGTTATTATTGGCTTGTTTCCCAAGCTTTTTGAGGCCTTGTCCTTTTTCAAAATATTTCGATTTCATCGTTACAGTTAGTTATGATATTATAGTTAATGTGTGCAATTATAATGGCAAACGTGCACGGTGAAATGTATGCAAGTCATCACTGTTAGTTTATAATATGACGCAAAAAATATTATACGACTAACTTCTGACGAGAATATCTCCCCGATGATTATGTACGGTATGGGACCGCAACCGATCGAGAACATGGATATGTACAACACTATAGCCACTAGTGGTAACCAGTCCAGCGTCTCAGCCACGTGGGGGTTATATTTTTTTGAAAAAAAATAGTACGAGAGCGCCAGTAAACAGACGCCCATCGAAGTCATCGAGTACACCATTAACGAACGTCTGCCGAACTTGTCCGTGATCATCATAGACACGAATGTCATTACCACCTATAACAACAGTATACGTACGTTACCAGGAATATTGTCACATTAATATAAAAATCTATTTCGTCAATTTTATCGTGAGTGTCAGTGATGGTCGACTGATGACTTCTCACATTCAACATATTATTTCATGTAAATATTATATTTATTACAATAATTCACTAAAGTGTATATACAAATTAATATATGTATGTAATTTTTTCCTTACCAAATATACTTCTTATTGTGCGCTGTAATTATAGTGTGTGTGTATATCAGATAAAGAAAAACAAATCTTAATTTTAAAGAATGCCTAAAAAAGTTAAACAATTCTTATATTAGAAATGTAACCGTATATGTTTAGTATGGCCTAAGTGTATTGAACAACATTCGTGTATAGTTATTTTTAATTCATTCCATTGTGTATAGAAATTACAGTGGCGAAGTCGAAGGGCTGAAGTCCTTCCAAGAAATTTCAGAAAAATGTAAATATGCTTTTAATGGTCTGTGAACATATTAACTATTAAGTAATATATGTAACTACTAACTATGTGTTCAAATTTTATTCTGTATGTAAGTTGCTGCAAAATTTCAATAATATGTTATGTACCAACGGCATTAGCAAACCTATATAACATATAAGAGATTCTGGATGAACTTCCCAAACATAAAAAAAAAATATATTAGAAATATATTATGTTATTATTTATGTAATTTTAGCTAACTTGCTTAAACAGAATGCTTTAAATGGGCTACCGATGTTTCCATTGAGTTATAATATAAATTTTTATACAAAAGACATAATCATAATTTAGTTTAAAAAAATCAAAATATATGGACTTATTACTCTGATATAAATAAGTAATAAATATAAATTTCAAAATTGCACTTTTGTTGTTTACCATTCATCTGTTGGTTTATAATAATAGATGAATAAATGATTTAGAATATTGGATGATCAATAGGAATTGTGTGGGGAATGTGGGGAAGGGGGTGTAGCATATGAGGGCAGGACGATTGCAAAATCTCATCCAACCCTAGAATATATTTCTAATAGCGTCACTGTCATATACAATACGCATAGATACAACAACCTAAAACAAATAAATTGTAAGAAATGTGTATAAAGTAAAAGGTTTTATCGATTTTATGATTCTTTGAAAATATTCTTGTAAGTACCTATTATTCATGGTTTCCGGTCGTTTTATTCAACGGCTTACAACAACTAAACTTTAAAACGCATTTTTCGAAGTTACAAATGGGTTATGTATAAAATATAGATTCCGTAAGAGTTTGAAATTTTTCTGGACTGACTGGATTTAAAGTTACACCAAAATACCATAAGCCATTGTTGCGAGAATAAAATTGATATCAATTTAAAAATATATATTTATAAATAAATAGTCTCATTTTTAAATGTTGTAATTTCTTGAAAAAAAATTGACCTAGCTGTTTTCTACTATATCGTAAAGACAAATACAATAAAAATAAAGATAAACCTGAAAGATTAAAAAAAAAAAACTTTTACGTTTTCGTGGTTGATGAAAACGTGTTTTTTTCGCATTCAATCGTCATCTTCTAATATTATTCCGTCCAACTAACAAGAATACAACAGGAAGCATAGATAGAAACAATATTTTCAAGTATCAGTCACGATATAAAATGTTCGAATTGTAACGGACGGCTAATGCTACATGTCCGATAATTGTAACGGGCTTACATACTATTTGATAACGATTTAATTTTAAAATATCAATTACAGTACACAAGAGGAATTTAAAACAGTTTGTATATTGTTATGTACGAACTACGAACTGCAGATAATTTTGTAACATTCAGTGAGAGGCGTCGTCAACATGTTTTTAATACAACGATTATGGCGTAGAGACCCATTAATGTAATTAAAAGGTGTTACCAATGGGTAATTTCCTCATCATGTTGTTCATGTACTATCTATTTATTTATCAAATTTACTTATTGTAATACTATTATTGAACTGATTTTAAACTGCTTTGTTCAAAATAAAAATAATAATATTACGATTAATAAATTGCCCAATAATTATTACACAGATATACAGAGTGGAAAACTGTTTTTTCTAATTTCTCTAACCAAGAAAATATTGTGGTGACCATAAATAAGTTTCAATTTGGGACTTCAACTATATAACCAATTAATTTTTGAAATACATTTTTGATTAATAATATTTTAGTGCAACGTATATGTTATTAGTCGATTTACGTCTCTCGACCAATTTACTTAACAATTATAATATACTCGAATATTAATTTCATAGCATTTTTTTTTTTTTAAATATATTATTCACATTTTCATGAACGTCAATTAGTTGTATGTGTTTGCAAGCAGTGCAGTATAACTAAAACAACAATATTTAAAAATTATGTAAGCTGAATAACTTTATGGTGTTACGTAGTTTGATTTGAACGTCAATAATATAGTTAGGAACTATTGTAATATTATGTATTAGATACGAATTATAATAAATTTACCGCGCACACACTTCAGTTTTTCTAATAAACAATTCGTATTATTAATTTTCGAGATCGAATGTCGAAGTTGACCATGGGTAACAAATAATATATTACCGTGAGGTTTCAGTAGTACCTACACGGAATAAGTAGGTACCTATATGAAATAATAATATGGCTGTGTGGCCGTAAGCCAATATTATACGTTTCATAATACGTTTCACGGTTCAAAACATCCATGTACTTAAATTGCCTACACAATACGCCGTCTGACCCACAGAACAAAAGCGGCATTATTATTTTTTCGGACGATTGTTATAGACAATAAGTGCATACAACTACAACAAACAATACATCTAACAACAAAACGTGTTATTTCTCGATTTCACTTGTTATTTTACGCAGTGTTTTGATGTTTGAAGTGGTGGTCTAAAAAATACAGTCGAAAAATTAATAGTCTTCTCTTTTTTTACAACACTTAAGCCGAAACAAAATATTATTTACAGTGATCATTAATACCACGTGCGTTCGATCGAAAATAGACAACGATGAAAACTCTAGTTGTAGAGGAAGTTGAGTGGACAGGACAGGCGAGGTTAGGTTAGGTTCCTAGGACACTCCTAACCTCCGAGGGTGCGGAGTCGTCAGCTATAGTCGTAATAGGTTCATGACGTCAATTATATCACACGTTAGAGTGCGAGTGGCACATGGAACGATATAGTACCATGAAATTATTATTATGTATCAGGTACCTGTATGGTGCCGACAACGGTCGTGGAAACTTCGGGGCTAATGTCGCTTCCCGCAATCTCGAACACGTGTTTCATGTAGAATATGATAGCGTTGATGCCGGTCATCTGTTGGAAAAACATGCAACCGATGCCGATGGTCAGCGCCCTCCGGTTCACGTCCTTCTCGAGCACTTCGCGCGCCGTGTAACTGTTCTTCTGCTCTTCTTCGACGAATTTCTGCACAATAATCGTCATAAGATTCGAAATCGTTTTGGCGAACTCCAAGGTTCGTTATTGGATTAAGCACATCACAATGTATATACGGTCGAGTAAACACGAGTGAAACGAAAATATGAAATCATTATTAATATTATTATATTTATATAATACATAAATATCTTGTGTAATGCAACGACCGAGCTTATAGGTACCTGTATCTCGTCGAGCTCGGACTTGCAGTCGTGACTGGGGTCTCGGAGCCGGGCCATCGCCTCTTCGGCGTCGACTTTTTTGTTCTCCTGGATCAGGAAATACGGCGATTCCGGTATGTATAGCACTCCGAGTATGTGGACTGCCATCCACACGCCGCAAGCCAAGTTGAGTTGGTTGTAACTCAAAAAATTTCCCAGCACGTACGAGTACAAGATGCCGGACACGACGAACAACTGGTATAAGCCGCCGAGAAACCCTAAAATATTGTTTAGTTATGTAGCCAACAACGAACGTGTACGATTTCCAAATAATCGACAAACGGTTAAATGTAGGTTTGGATAATAGGTAGTAAAAGTGAACGAAAAATTTTGAGATCTGGACATTACACATTGCCTATATGTATAATATATTTAAGATTCACGCATGTACGACTTTTTAAAGATTTTCATTTCATGTTCACATTTTTCTTGGGAAAATATCGTATTGTTTGTTTATCTTTGTAATGAAATATCATAATTTACGAAACCACGTGGAAACCAGAAGTAGCCTAGGAATTCCAAACAGTCTCTTCGAAGCTCTGTGCCATATCGAAGGCAACAGCAATTGAATTATTTCATTTCTCAAATACATAAATATGTATAACGCAATCTAGTGAATCATATGTATTTATTGTTACATAACTGATATTTAGATCGCTGTAAGATGATACAGCTTTGTTTTTGATGTTTAACAATAAAAAAAAAAAAAAAGTAATAACAAAACGGTCGGAATAAAAACCTCGGATCTCGGGTTCGGCTATCTCGCCGACGTACATGGGTATTATGGTGCACATTGCACCGCATCCAACGCCCTGCAATATCCGGCCCACGTACAACATCCGGGCGGCCTTCGGAAACGCGATCATCAGCCACCCGAAGACCACGTGCGCCTCGCTGACGATGAGTGACACGCGCCGGCCAAACACAGACGACACGGCACCAGCCGGGACGGCGCCGATCACGGCGCCCACGCCGAACAGCGAGCACGCGGTCGCCGCGGCCATGGACGACACTTCGAAGCTAACAGCGGTCCCGTTCTCCAACATCGTCAGCGTTGGCGAGGACCATCCGAGCACTGTGCCGATGACGAACGCACCCAGAGACGCTGCAAATATGGCCATGTGTTTATGAGCGGGTTGGTAGGTACATATGTGTTGTTTTGTAAAAATAATAAGAAAATAAAGTAGCTGCGATATGTTTTTTTTATACGTAATTGTATACGTAACAGTCAACGGTTGAGATTTAAATAATCTTACGATTGTATTTATAATTAATAATAAATATAGCAGTATAATATTAATGGATAGAATGTAAAGATAAATTAATACAATTAAATGGTTATTGCTTTGAAGAAAAAAAAATTAGTTTTGAGTTTGATTTTGGGTCACTTGTGGATCGCAGACCACAGTGCTGCAGGGTACTATGTAATCTCCATCTCTCACAACTTCATAAGGGGCCCGTGTGCGATATTTTTGTTTGGACCCTTCCTAAATTAATTTTACTGTAAGTATTACAATCTATAAGTGCCAACGTTTTTAAGTTTTGTGTATACCTACATATATATATCTATTTTTTTGGTTCATACGTTTTTTTCAAACTGTTTCAAATGGAACAATAAGAATAAGTGATGGTATAGAATAAGCAAAAATTAATAAAAATAAAAAGGCAGACTAAACAGATTTCAAGGCCTCCCAGTACTAAATACCTATAAATGTTGCAGTGTACTTCGTCACTCATCAACCGTCCTCGTTTTCTGCTATCAGCCTGTGGCTCTTCCGACAATTTGACAAACAACGACCCATAGACTCGATAAAAATAGAACTTATGAAAAAATTGATAGAACTTAAAAAGTTAGAAACGTTGACACTTGAATACTTGATAGTTGATACTACCTTCCATCCTATTTTAACATACTTATTAGTTTATTACTTAATCTAATATTAGTATATCTATACAACTACACTAATGTTTCAACTTAAAAAAAAAGTATTGTGAATAATTAAGTTTTGAGTAATTTGATAATATTTCTATTTTTGTTCAAATAATTTTCTGCTATAAAATATTATGAACTAAAACTAACGGGAATATCTGGATTATTTATGAAAGTTTGGGCGAGTTAATATACAAGTGTTGACGATCTGGTGAAATTGTAATTAGATTAAGCCACTGTTTTCAGAGATGCGCAGCAGTCTCTATTCATCATTGTATAGATTCGTGTTATCCCGCAAAATACGGGTTTAATTTATTATATTATAAAGTTGTGAAAAGTTAGACAATTTCACTTTTCCCCTTCATCCACTCAACCCTAAAATTATTATTGTTTGACATTCCAATTGGTATATTACTTAATATGTTTAGACATGCAACTAATAATGTAATATAATAACTCAAGTTTTAAATAAATTTATAGATACGTATTGTCTGTCGTTTGACTCTTTTTCGACTTTATGGATTATTGTTTTATGATTTTGGAACTTGAACGTAATAGTTGAAAACCGGTAGTTTTATAATTCATTTTATTTTAAGCATTATAGGGTTTATTTTAACGATTATGTAGTTTTTCTGAACACCAAACATATTCGACGTTAAATAGATTAAAAACGTAAAAAATAATGTTGATGTTCTAGTGTTTTAAAAACATGCTCAACTGTACATATGCTTATAGTACCTAATTTAAATTACCGTCAACGGCTTAGTTCGATTATTAAAACTAATATGAAACAAACTTCTGTGCCGAAGTCGCGTATTTGAAGGATAGTGGTGGTGAATCGTTTCCTCACTAGGAAGATATATCGGTTACCCGAAATTATTCAGAAAAAAAAAAGTTCTATCCACCTTAAAAACTACTATCTATGTTAAGATTGAACCATTCTCCCCCTCCACTCCCACTTTGGTCTAACTTCAGACTTACGACTGCGTGTCATTGTGCTCATTTATAGTCATTGATTTGCGATGATAATTTTTTTATCGAGTGCATACCTTTGTAGTATGCATAATTTATCTCACATGAATCGTATTATTTTATGTGCTATGCGCGTTGTGGAAGACCATGATGCATCGTGATATTTATTATTTAAAGAACTATTTCGATGCCACAAACACACTACGTAAATGCGTAATTGTGTGTATTATATTATTATTACCTACTAACATTTGAATAAAGTGATATTATGCCAGCAGATTTGGACGTCTGACAACAACAAATTTTATTTTATTTTATATTATACTTTATTATTTAATAATTTTCATTTCAATATATAGGTATGACTGCCGTGCCTTGAACGGGTCGCGATACCTACATTTATTCATAATAATAATTATATTATTGTTACAATCTCACGACATATATTAAACTCTATAAATCGGACAAGGAGAACAAATGACATTGCGCAGTCCGTGAGCACCAATCTATTCGAATAATAATTAATCGAAATGGAATATATTAAACTGGAACTCTTATTAATTGTTTGAGTATCCTACACATCGGATTCCAAACAAATCTATAAATTGACGAATAATCCATATATTAATGCTAAATTGGAGTGATTTCATCAGATAAATAATAATACTTTCCGGCTATCTGCGGTATACACGATGATATTATAATATTATTTTAGACATTAAATTATTATTATTATGTACATAAATTGTTGTTACGTACCTGATAACGCGAAAACAATCTGAGGTATTTTATCATTTATTACACTGAACATAATTCCGACAGATTATCGAGATTGCGTACGTACGATTTAAATACACACGGTATACATTCGAGCCGACTTCCCAAGACTAGTCGGTGATTAATTTTTATCTGAGTCTTGTGCTTCGGCTTCTTAAAATATTCAAAATAGGTAATTATTGTTTGCGTAATTTGGCTATTATTGTTTTAGTATGCCTAATATGTTTTCAAGGTGCAACCTTTATATAATTATATCCGTTTGACAGATGAATGTTTTACAGTTTGTTCTATTGACATACGTTTTAAAAACATAAACAACTGTCTGTAATACCCATATATATATAATATAAGTACTTATTACCACACGCTCGTCGTTCTCTTATGTCCACCGTATTATAATGACAGAGTGAACAGTATAAAATATAATTTATTATTACTAAACATCGTATACCTTTTATGAATGTAATATTTTCAAACGACCTTTTTATTATCGACCCGCAATGTGTACGTTTTATATTATTATAATCTCGTTTTAAATATAATGGCCCTCGCATATTGTCACGACGACAATGAAGCATTACCGAAAGTCCTACTGCCAATTGGCCACGACTTGAGGTATGATAGTAACATGTAAAGTAGCTGCGGACTTACGACGATTATTAAAGCACGTAAATTGTTTGGTGTTTAGTAAGTGAATCTTTCACAAAACAAATCTATATAGTTACTTGGCAAAAATAACCATGCAATGAAAGTGTTAAAACAATATAATAGCAATGTAATTTTCAATAGACATTTCTCGTCAATGATTATTAATAACTTAAACTGGTCTAAACCCATAATTGATACAGTAGCTAATGCGTTTCACCGTATGGGAATGAAAACTTGGAACTTGTCGGTGAAGCGTGTAAAATTAAAGCTAATTAAATTTTTGCTTTCAATGCAAAAGTGAAATATTCTATTATACTTCTAGTCATCTAGTTTTAATTATAGATAACATTAATGTAGCTAAAATGTTGGTAGTCTTGGATTTGAAATTTAAAGGTGCTATTGTAGTTCATTTTTTTGCAACACCACTTCATTAATAATAAAATTGTAATAACTATGTATTTAAATGAAATCGCTATTAATCTTAATATTAATATAAGACGAGGGATAGAATATTATTTCAAAATAATTAAATAATGCTGAATAAATAAGTAGTACCATTGTGTACATAGCTTTTCAAAAACATGTATGTTATTATTTTTTTACTGCCCGCCTGGACTTCCAATACAATTAACCGTTATTTCAGTCGACACAACTAAGCCGTTCAAACTAAGTCTATGGAATGAGTGAGTATTTTAGTCATAATTTAATTGATTAGATAAACGCAATAGATTATACTACATCGGTTATGATTACGTTTGTTATTTTAAGCGCCATTTTATGTTATGGTACAATGTCGAAATCGCAGTAATAATAAAGTAAGAATAGTGATATGACTTATGAGTTATATGACTACGACATACCTACATTCCAAATCGTACTCGCAGTATTTGACAATATTTCTCCTGCTCAAATGTATCACCTTCAAAACCTATGACTGTTAATTTTATCAAGTCATTAATCTGCTGTAGCTAATTTCGCCATAAATTCACCATAAACTCGCCGATGACCAACGTATGAAATAAACGATATCAAATATTATATACGACCAAAGTATCCAATACAGAATAATATTATAATATTATGTACAGGGTGTGCCTCGTGCGTGGTGATTTTAATTTACGGTAGAGCGAAAAATGTAAAATTCTATAAAATAAATACCCGATGACGAATGTTTCGAAGACCTGTTTTCATCAAATGTAAATTTTAAATTTTCACACCGTTCCAGTCGTGCAAAAATCAACTTCCTTTTAAACGTATAAACCACTATTTTAAAACTGGATCCTGGTGGCGAAGTGTGTAATATTTTTAAAATGTCTGTGGTCAAATCATTTACCAATTACTATATAAATCAAGAGGCAGTAGAAACCTCACGACAGGTTAAAAGGTTGGTTAATTGAAATCACTGTACTGACTGTATACACATTTTGAAACATAAATCAGAAATCCTACATATTCACTATATACATGTACATCTATATTTTACTTATTTATATGCTGCTTAAAAAAGTAATATAATTGAAACTTTTTGTAACCTTAATTCAATAATGAAAGAATAACTGTCACGTAACCCTAGTTGGGTCGAGATGATTTAGACAGAAATAATACGACACCCTAAATATCGGTCGATTGTTTATTCTGCCGATTTATGGGTGCCTAGTCGATTTTGTGGTTAGATTTTTAACACATAAATTCAACCGATACTTTTTTTATTCCTGCAATAAAAATGTAAATTCCACTGATGCGTTTCTTTGACCCGAAAAATATGTAAACTCTACCAATGGTAAATAGGTACTTATATTTTTAATTTATTTTAACCAGCTATTCGATCATTATTGATGATTATATATTCATTTTAAAATTGTATAAAAAAAACACAACTATCAGAATATAATATTATGCGTGGAATAAATTAAAAGGTCCATACATGAATAATATGCACCTCAGCACCTGCCTATGCACTTCTATTATCAGTTTTATTTCGGGTAAAAAAAACCAGTGGAATTATTCACAATATGAAAAAAGGTTAAAAAAAGTTCATAAAATGTAGAATTTACGTACACCCCCAAGTGTCATATCGAAAAATGATCAGTTAGGTAAATCACTATTAATTGTACATTTTATACGGTACACAGAAAGAAGGATGGTGACAAAGGTAAAATAAAAGGAACAATATTTTCTAAATTCTGGCATGTCTACGAAATTATGTGACTAACTTTCAGCGGAGCAAATTGCAGTTCGACGATTACGGTGTATAATAATATTACTATATACTATGTATAGATATATACCTACACAACCGTCACACGTCCATCGCTCACATATATTATTACTATTGTTGTTGTACATGTACCATGGTTCATTGACGAGACCCAATCGGCAGGCATTTTATTTTTTCACGTTGCGAAACAGCCGACTGAACACGATAATTAAAAATGATATTATATAGAATATATTGGGGCCAACGTGTCCCCGAGTTGATGTGTCGATACGCGTTCCCAATCATTAATGCACTACGATTATTTACGATCGTCACACTCATCAGGGACGATATGATAATGCTTTGATCCGCCGTATTGACATATTATGTATCGTAATGATAGGCAATAAAAAAACAAAATAAAATTCGTCCATATTGTTGTGCAGAAACAATTCACGAATAATAAACTCGCACACACGTTTTAAAATAATCACACATTTTTTGTTTTGTTTTACATTATACAATATACGGTTTAAACTTTTAGAGACTAGATACGACCTTTAGTCGGGTAATGGTAACCATGGTATACATAGTGTACCGTAACCATGGTATAAATGGTATATGAAACGCATAATAGGTAGTCGTGTTCTTCGCGCAGTATAATAATGATTACACTTGAGTCTTGAGACTTTTAAGACCAAGTCTCACGTTTTATTACACTACGGCCACCGAGAGAAAACGATTTTTTTTTAGCGTCTTTGAGATAATACAAGTATACACAGCATAATACAATTATTATTTGTAAAACAATCTTGAAGCACTTTACGTTTGAGCAAACAATTAGTATAATCATTAATATTATGTATCTCTCGGTATAGTCGTATTAATAGTGCACCACAATATTATTATTATTTACAACCTACCATAAATGTTTATTTTTAACCTCGACATTGTCTACCGAATACATTGTCATCTTGTGATATCATTTACATATATTTCGATTATAGAATCTAAGCTATAGGTACTTTAAAAGTTTATTACATCGTATAACATTCATTATTATTATACTTTATCTCTATGCTTGTTGTATTTGGCGTCTAAGACTATTTTTATTGGAAACTTCTTTACCTGCATACAACAACGAATCTTTAAGAATTACAATCACAATTATAAAATAATATGTATAATTCATTATTGTCAATGACTCAATGGAATATTTTTATAATAGATCTACGGTATTATCTTTTAAATACGATCTTATTACGTAAAATTAAATGTTAAATTATTATACAATTAAAATAAATGCGCTTAAAATTACAGATGATAAAAACATAATTGTTACGTAATAATTACATACCCATCGTTATTTGTTTATATACATGGAATGAAAATTTAATGTTTGATATTCGTAGTCCATATGTATATTATTGTACTTTAAAAGATTGTTGCCATATAGTTTGGAAGAGGCAATTTATAAGTTCATAATTCTTAGGTGCAAATAGGCCTCAAATTCGGAAGAGGGGATAGGTTACTTTGAAAAGATCTTTCTTATACATGGTATGTATTTTTGCGCCATGTATTTGAACAATGTTTTAGGCAAGCGTGAGCATAAATGAATTGAAAAAATAAACGTAAAGTACATTTTAACTTTTTAAAATTTAATTTTCATTAACTTAATTTTTAACTTAACAGATTTTTATTGATATAAATCTATTAAATAACGAGTTACTTTTAATAAAATCCAATTTCGTTTATTTATAAATAATTAAATAATAAAATTATTATTGATGATATATATTGCATACACATTTACTTTTTATTATTTTAAATCATATAACTAGCTGCTTATATTATTAAAAAATAAAAAAAAAACTTAACTTAAGTTTATACTTTAATTATAAGTTTTCAAATAACTTTTAACTTAATTGAGTTTAAAAAAAAATTAGGGTAACCTTTAGGCTTTAGAAATGTTTTCTATCAACTTAACTTAGTTAAAAATTATCATTAACTTGCCCAGGCTTGGTTTTGGGTGCCAAACATTTTATGAGGAAGCATAACTCCCTCCCCCCCCCCTGAAATCTTAATATTTGTACAAATGGTAATATTATACATTCTCTATTACCTATATGCATTAGATAAACTATATTTTAATATTTTATTTTTGAAATCGCAGTGCAAATAAAAGGAAATATTAAAGTATTTTAAATATAACACTGGGCGACGAAGAATATTTCATGTGATTTGTAATAATTTCAAAGCTTATTG